AGTAAACAGAGAGTGAAACGGAGAGTTTAATGGAGGTAGGCCAAAATCCAAATTGGGGCTGTAGCGCCAAAGGGGGAAAAAAATGTGAGAAAGGTAAATCTTGTTCCGTAATTCCAGAAATTCCTCATTGCAAAAACTCCAATAATTAGGCCAATGACAAATTCTTCTTTCATAATTTTAACACTTGACAAATTTGTTTGAAACTATTCCCTCTTAATTTAGATTTATTCACTGGATTATCTGAGTGATTGAGATTAGCTCTCTCTAAGGGACCCAACTGAGTAGGTGTCTTCCTTCGCCACCTGAAGACGGAAACAGATCCAGTTTCCGAAACGTCTTGTTTTCTATTTCCAAGAATTCCGGACGATGGATAAAGTCCAAAAACCTAGTAATTCTGTGTTATCTACTATCGTCAGAACCCTTTAGAATCTACAGCAGCCGCTGTATCAGATCGTGGCTCAGATAAATGCAATCAGCACCCTCAAGCCCTTTATTGCATTTTCCTCACAGAGGCAGAACCTTGTAAAACATTTTCCCAAATATTTTCCATAATGATAAATATAACACAATTCGTCTCATTTTTGTGGGAATGTATGAATAAAGTTTCATCTGTTTGTATAACACAATATTAGTGACCTAGATTCATAATTTATTCATAAATTTATTTTTATTATTATGCTGGAACATGATGGTGGTCTTTAGAATATGTTACAGCTGAATTTGATGGCAATAAAAACTATAGCCCCGCAAGTTCCCCGTGTAGCCCATGGCGTGGTACCTATTCCAGAAGTTCGGTGAAATTAATTACGAGAACATCATCAAAGTAAGATCTCACGCGGTCAGATTAATCTCAGTAGAAAGTAAAGTTATCCCTGTAACAGGCCGTGGAGGCCCATAGGGTTGTGAGATGTCGAGGCTCTCACATTTTCTAGACAATCGGCTCACAGATGGCGGTGAGTTATCAGCTTTACGCACCGGCTGTCCTTTACCGCCCAGGAATATTCCTGGTACTCATTTCTGTTCGAGGCTGAGTCGAGCCCAGGGCCATAGTGCTGCCGGAAGAACTATGGGAGTAATTACATTAATTTAACCTATCATTATACCCATATTTCATTTCATACTTTAAAGGAGTATTTTGAAAAATTACAGATATCTCATTTAAAGAATTTTAAGGCACTGTGATAACCAGGGCCCGGATTTTGATGACCTGAAAATATTTAAAAAATTACAGAAAAAATCCAGAAAAATGACCTAATGGAGAAAAGAAAGAACACCTCGCTTTCATGTTATTCACATTTCAGAAAACATGAGAAGAAAAATTCCCTAAAATGGCCAAAAATGACAAGAAATACCCTTAAAAGTCCCAAAATTTACCAAAAAGTTACCCTCAAAATGAAAAAAGACCTTAAAATTAAATTTTCAAAAAACGAAAAAAAAATCCTATAAAATTTACATTTCTGTAACCATCACCTCATATCCGAGATCTATATATTTAAGTCCATCGCATAGGATACAAGGAAAAAGAGATGACATGTCATCAAAATCCGGGCCCTGGTGATAAATATACCACATGATTTAACACAACTCCCGCAGAGTCATTCCCTATACAGTATTAATCCGTTATGCTCTGTAATGGAAACGAAGCGTGTATTCTGTGTTCAGAAAGTTATTTTAAAGAGTAATTATGTGGAAGAACTTAGGGCTTCAAAAGATTAATATGGAAAATAGCGCATCTGTTTGATAGTTTATAGTTAACAGATCTGTTAGCAAATTCCTTTTGCTATTGAACCAGAAAGAGCATCACCACCATACAGACGGCTTACTATTGAATTCTATTCACTTAGACTTTAACTTCGTTGGCATTTTCAGAACCAGCAAATAATTTAAAACTATCCTCTGTTTCTCGCAACCGGTATCTTACATTGTACGTCAACTGGCTGAGATTTACATGCGTTTCTCGTAGACCTGTACCCATTCGTTATGTCCTTCGGCCTGCACCTAACGTCTCCGAATATTTTATTCAGGACTTTGTTCATAAACACCCTTAAACTCTGTTAAATAAATAAAATGAGAAAGAAAGATCCGAGAATATGCTGTACAAAATACTGTAATCAGTTGAAAGTCAACTGACACTTCGGAGGAATATGTCGTTGCTGTCTTCAAGGTAGAATAATTAGCCAAGCAAGAAACCAGGCGGAATTATGTTCATCTAAAACATCTGTTGATTCTGAACAGACTAAACGGCGGTATATCTCATACCAACCTTTATGAGAACTTCAAATCCTACATACAACATAACAGGCTAAAATTATGTTGTTAATACTGTAATTTTTATGCTGTTGACCATCTAGCAAATAAAAATTCTCCGAAATTAATATCAGCTTGAATGTTCTGAGTTTATTCTAAGTTATTGTCGGAGTTTTCTGGGGCGCGACGCCGTGTATATTGGTAGATGGAAACTTTACTTCTTTTGGCTTGTTTTGGACTTCATCCATCGTCTGGTATGTAAAAATCACTGGTCCAGTAATTGAGACCAGCTCTTTCTAACGGGCCCAACTGAGTAGGTGTATCCTTCCCTACC